TAACTGTCTTTCACATGTCGGTGCATCTTTTAGGCTGGTTTTTGGAGTGTAGTGACTTATGACAATGTATGAAAAGGCCGCTACGAGGCTGAGGTCAGGCCTTGTTAAATAGATAGATAGATTCAACTTTATTGTCCTTACACATGTACAAGGCACCGAAATGCAGTTTAGGATCTAACCAGAAGTGCAATAACAGCAGTGCAGAATGCACAGTATCTAGTCTGTACAGTCAGAAAAAAATTACCAATAGATATGTACAATTGATATTTACAGTAAGATATGTAGGGTAATGTACTATATACAACAGAGTTTATGGATTTAAGTTACAAATAATGGATAAGGTATATTAATCTTATAAAACACTAGTGCAATGCGATGAAATGGAATGAAACAGTGCAGAATAAGAAAATAATAAGTTACATGAGTGAACATTTCAATGGATGTAAATAGTGCAAAGATAAAGATAAATATACAGTATCAGTATATGGACAGTGTGCAAATGAATAACAGAGCAGTATTCTGTGAGTATGTTCAAATAAACAGATCACTTCAGTGTTACAGGTAACAGACATGTATTGCATTAGAGAGAGAGAGATGAGAAGGGGTGAGGTGTGTGTAGTGGTGTAGAGGAAGGCAGTGGGGGGTCAATGGGGGACAGAGTTCAGTAAGTGTCAGGTTCGTTTGCCTGCCTCACTTCCCTCTTTTTCTCCCCTCTCTCTCATCCTGCATGCTCAGCGACTCTGTTGAGACGCCTCACCTGATAATTGACTCCCGGGCACAGCACACAGCTGAAGCTCATTCCACTAATCACTTCCCTTTCTTATTTAAACCCCTGGCAGATGCTCCATCGCAGCCAGAGCATTAACGTATTTTTGATCATGTATACGCGATGCCAATGCTGACAGTTTCTGTGCGATTGTTTTCGTATGTATATACAGTGGGTACGGAAAATATTCAGACCCCCTTAAATTTTTCACTCTTTGTTATATTGCAGCCATATGCTAAAAGCATTTAAGTTCATTTTTTTCCTCATTAATGTACACCCCATATTGACAGAAAAACACAGAATTTTTGACATTTTTGCAGATTGGAATAGCGTTGTGTAAATACTTTTGTTTGGGAAACAGGTTTGGAAACTCAGATGTCCGAGTTTTCCACGTGTCCTTAAACGCAGCGTGCATTCGTGGCTCGTGGACTTTTGAGAGTGCAGAAAAACACTCTCAAAAATCTGTGTGTGCGCGGAAGGTGATTCGTGTGTGTTAGACGATCCACGCATGCGTAGGTAACAATGTGTACGTACTTTCTAAAGAACTGCACACAAAAAATCGATTTTAAGCATTTGTAAAATGTGTTTTATGTGCAGTTTGTACAGCATGCATTTGTGAACAGCATGACACACACACACAAATGGCTTTATACGTGCAGCTTGCACAGCACGCATTTGTGATCCTCATGACACACACACACAAATCGCTTGTTACAGACAAAACGTTAAACACGCATTTGTAACATTTTTGATAGTATTTTATCTCCATACAGTCTACCATAACAGTAAGGAGACAGCTGTGGGGAAGAAGCTGTTCCTGAGTCTACTGATTTTGGTCCAAAGGCTCCTGAAGCGCCTCCCAGAGGGCAGGAGGTCAAACAGTTTGTGAGAGGAGTCCTTGAGAATGCTGCAAACACGTTGGAGACAGCGTTCCCTGTTGACACCCTCAAAGGGTGGAAGTGGAGTCCCTGTGATGTGTTGGGCAGTTTTCACCACCCGCTGCAGCGCCTTGCTGTCAGAGACAGAGCAGTTTCAGGATCAAGAGCAAATATTTTTTTTGTCAATTCAATATATGTGCAGGAAATACAGAAAATCGAAATGCCGTTTCACTCTCACCTAGTACTGAATGCCATACCATTTAGGAAACTAGATGGTCTACTTTTAACTAGTTAAAATGATAGTGGAGGAGCAGGTGCTGTCTGACCTAACATATTCAGGCCTGTTGGTCAGAAAGTCCAGAATCCAGTTGCAGAGGGAGGTGCTGAAGCCCAGACTGCCAAGTTTGGTGGTTAACTTGAAGGGCATGACCATGTTAAATGCTGAACTGAAGTCAATGAACAGCATTCTTGCATAGGTGTTGTTGTTGTCCAGGTGTCTGAGTACAGAGTGCAGTGCTATGGAGACTGCATCCTCCGTGCTCCTATTCCTGCAGTAGGCAAATTGGTGGGGGTCCAGTGTGGGTGGGAGACAGGTCATCAGGCATGCAAGGACCAGTGAGTTGCTGGTGGTCTGCGGAGGGTCTGGACTTGATAGCTGTATTCTTGTTGTCCTGGTCAAAGCGAGCATAGAAGGGATGGGATGGTGGCTGCTGCTGCTGCACCCTGAGGGGCAGGATCAATGATGTCCTGAGCTGCAGGGTTGATGCAGCTCTGATGGATGGAGCAGAGGCAGGGGCTGAGACGACACCGTCGTCGTCGGTGAACCCCTCGGGAGCTGAGAGAAAGGTGGCGCCATTGTCATTGTTGAACCCCCTCGGGGGCTGAGAGACAGGTGGCGTCGTTGTCGGCAAACCCCTCAGGAGGAAGGACAGAGGTGGAGATTTTGGCGGAGATTGTGGCGGTCTGGCTGAGCCCCACAGGACCAGAAGTAACCGCCTCTATTGGCATGTCATCATCCGCACACTAAAAATGTGGGACCCTGGTGGTGACGCTTTCATTGGCACACCTGGGGTTCTCAGTCTCAGAAGGGATGCTTGGACAACTATGTTGAGGGGCAGACTCTGGGGCGGCGTCGGTGGTCCAGCCAACCCGCTCGGAACCAGGAACAGGAACTAGCTTAGAGGCAGCATCAGTGGTTCAGCCAACACGATCATAAATTGGAACAGAAACTGGCTTAGAAGTGGCGTCGGTGGTCCAGCCGACCCGCTTGGAAACAGGGACAGGCTTGGAGGTGGCGTCAGCTCACCGACTGACTCGCTGGGGAACAGTGACAGGCTCAGAGACGGCGTTGGTGCACCGGCAGACAAGACTGGGGGAGCACGTGGAGGCTGCAGCTCAGGGACCAGCTGTGGCTGTGGAGGCAGCTGCTGCTGGGGAGCTGGCTTTGCTGGAGGCAGCAACTGCCAACTTCTTCGCCTGCGGCCTCTGCCCCAGAAGATGGGGTGTAGCTCTGGGGCAGGAAGTGAGAGAGGTGACGCCATCTAAGCCTTCAGTTGCCTGTAGATTTCACGGGGCTCAGAGAAGCTGATGAAGAAGCCCTGGCCAAGCTCCCTTCCAACTTGTCCCGATCCTTCAAGTAAGCCTCCACGTAGGCTTCCTGCTCATCACGAATGTCACTCAGCTGTAAGAGTAGGTCTGCAATTGCTGGGAGACATGTTAGCTCAGTTCCACTCTGCACAAGCTGCTCCATTTTATTACAAACAGCCATGCGCTCCACTGGGCTACAAATGGTGTCCAAACTGCCACACATACTCTGCAGTACTCGTGAGAGGATTACCAAATCCTTCTTGGGGTCTTTGTGTGACTGGTTCATACCATTGCTGACAGCTGGGAGTACGGAAAGACTAGCATCTGAGTTTACTGAGTCCATGTTTGGCCAGATCATTCTGTTAGGGTTAGTGTCTCTCACCCGGAGGTGAGAGAGAGAGAGAATGAGGACTCAGGGTACAAATTCAGTGTTCTACTACACAAACCTTTAATCACAAAACATAGGCCAATGGAAAAAGACAAAGTCAATCGGTAGATATGTGGACCAAACCGGGGTTGAGCAGTGGAGGCTGACAGGACCGGGACGGGCAGGTAAGCAGGCAGGCAAGCAGCAAGAACCAGGAGGATCAGAGAACCAGGATGGACAGGTGAGTAGGCAGGAGAGCAGCAGGAACCAGGAGACGGGAAGTTGAGCTGGCAGCAGGTGAGATGACAGGAGGGACACAGGACAATACAGGGCAGTCAGGTAAGCAGAGTAGCAATGAGCAGACCTGACAGGAAGAACATGTCAGTCTAAATGAATCCACTCCACCTGGTCACAGTAACTGTCACATCTCTCGAAGCTCTGGCCGACGTAGAGATGTTGTAGCGATCATTGACAGCAGCCTATTACTCAACCCTAGACCTAAACATAGTTATAACTCATTTGAAAGCCTCACTCTGAGTCTCTCACAGCCAAACTGAAAAACTCAAAAGCCAGTTCTATTTGTTGTTGTTTACCATCCACCTGCCCCTTTTTCAGAGTTTTTAAATGGATACTCAGACTTTGTCTGATTAAGTGCTTAGTACAGATAAAATAATCATAGTGAGTGACTTTAATATTCATGTAGATGCTGACAATGATAGCCTCAACAATGCATTCTGTTCACATAGACTTAACTGGCTTTTCTCAAAGTGTACATAAACCCACTCACTGTTTTAATCATACCCTTGATATTTTCTGACATACGGCATTGAAACTGAACACTTAATGCTACAGGAAGAGTTTATTTGATGTTGGATACAGATACAGTAAACTGACATGGTTATTGCTTGAGTCCTGAGGCACAGTTGAACTCTCTGGTAACACTTTCATGGAAGTACCAGGTTCAAATCCTGGCGAGAGTGTACAGCCTCATCCATTAAAGGGAGATTTTCCTTCCCGCTGTCACCAAGTGCTACTCAAGGGGGACTTTTTGGGTCTTTCCTCTATAATAATAGTAATAGTAATAATAACAATAATAATAATAATAATAGTGAGGCCTAGACCTTTTTTTGTAAAGTATCCTGAGATGGCTTCTGTTGTGGTTTGGTGTTATACAATAAATTTGAATTGAAATTGTATCTGTGCAACTTCAAGGTAGTTCAGGTTTAACATTAACTGATTGACCAACAGTCTCCAGTCATGATAGCAGTTCTGTGTAGCTTTAAAGGACTTAGTTTAAAAAAAAAAAAAAAAAAACAGATTGCAAGTTAGTCTTTGTTCCTTAGTGACGCAGAAAATGTTCCAGCAATGTTAGGTGATCCAGCTGTGGAGCAATCAGTAGTAAATGATAACCACTGGAGATGTCATCTCTAGGACATGGTGTTTCATTTCCCATAAATCTGCATCTTTTCCTGCTCTTTATACTTTCTCAGCTGTACATGGAAAGGTGTCATGATTCTGTCCTGCCTGTTTCCATTCTCGTGCTTTTGCCATTACTTCCTGTTTATGTTTCACCTCAGTTTCGGACTTTTTACTTTGTTCAGCACTCATTGTTTTCACCTGCTTCTGATTGTTTGCACCTATTTTCACCCATATTTAGGCAGCTGACTCCCACCAGGCAGCTGCCAGATTGTTCTAGACCCATGTTCAGACTTTCCAGCATTTCATCTCATGCCTATATTTCTCGTTATGACATTGGATTGCCTTTGATCACTGAATATTGCCTTGCCCTTCTGTTTTGGACTTGTTCCTGGTTGGACTTCTTCCTGGTATTCGGCTATCGGACTTCCCTCTCTGACCCCTCGCTTCTGATCTCTCGGCTGTGTGAGTTTGCTGGTTCTGACTTTGGACTGTGTTCCCAACCTGTGAGTGTTTTTTCGTGTTTACGTGGGTTTAGTGATCAGTCAGTAAGCATAATAAAGAGACTGTTTTCACCTTTACTCATCTGGCATTGTAATAGAGTCCGCCAATTAACCTGGCTAGTAGTGGTATTGGGAATCCCTGACAGAAAGGTTAAAGACACAAGAGAGAGAAATTCAGAGGAATGAATGAGTCCCATAAAGTTGATCTCTAACAAGTCCTTTCTCACTTGTATTTTTTGCTAACATGCTCTCAATGACATATATAGTATAGTATATATGTATCTATAGTACCAAGCTCACCCTCTTCATGTTTACATGCAATATTTTGCTCTAAAACAATGTACAACAAAAGCTAATGGAACAGCCTTCACCCTACATCACAGGAACATGATTATCTGTGTGTTAAATTTATAAGCAAGCCCCTAAAGTATTTGTGAATTTTCACCAGTGCTTTTTTGGGGGGTGGGGTGGGGGAAGGTGTACAGCCTATTATATTTGCAGCTTAAACAGACCACTTCAAGCACAGATTTTCACACAAACCAGAACAGATACTTAGGACAAACAATAAAAAGCAAAAAAAAAAAAGCATGAAGGCTACAATACATATACTTTTATCTTTTCAAATAGCTGCAGCCATCATGGCTACAGCCACTCAGCCACAGTAAGAAGCTAATGCTATGAAATCCCATTGTCTGGCTCACACATGAACATAGCAACCACTAAGTTATTTATTGTTAATTACACTTATAGACAGACCCAGTATTATTAGCCATGTACTGTGGTGCTGTGCTGTTTGCAGCAGTGACAAACAGCAATGATCATGTGACGCTCACAGTGTGAACACAAACTGTAATGATGAAAGTACAATAAATTAAAATGAAAAGATAATGTTAATATGCCAAACGTGTGTAAAAAACTATACTAGCTTATTACAGAATCAAACCACAAAGTAAATCAACAATGTAGCCTACCTATAAGTCTCCGGTTCAATGCTGATCTGTCACAGAACTGAAATAAAGGAATTTGTCTCTAATTTGCATATACCACAATACACATACCAATACACATACACATCTGGCATTTTAGCGCCCAACCTGCAGCTAACAGCAGCCAGCAGTATCTATGGGCGTGGTGGTCGCAGTAAGTGGCTGTAGTTGCATTTGGTGCTTGGCCCATTTCCAAAATAATCCAGCACACGGTGCAGTCTGGAGCAACTCCCAGATACCATTTCACTATTTCATCGTGTGTTTATAGGTGTCCTGAACACCAGAGAAGGTGCCTAATGCCGCATTTTTATCTAAATACAGTCTCTAACCTGGCAGGATGGCAGGTTATCTAAATCCTGATTAAACATCCCACCTAATGAGTCAAACACATTGGTGTAGCTGTGACTAGGCAGTGTTGAAAAATTATGCTTGCAATATATTATGTTTTTATTAGTCAACAAATCCCATATAAACAAAACAAAAAACTCCATGTTTAGACTGCCTCCCATTACCTTTCCAGCTGGTCTGTTGCTCTCAGGCCCAGATCCAGTCATTCCTACTTAAGACCAACTGTACACCAAGAATATACACATTCTCTTTAAAAACAAAAAAGCCTCAACAATCAGGACACAGTTGTCTTCATCAAAATGTTGTTGCCTTCTGAAAATTATGGATCTCCAAAAACTTTTGAAGGAAAACAGCTCAGCTTGAATTTTCAGAAAATTTTCACAACCCACAGCACATCATTTATCTGGGAAGTAACAAAATATATCACAAAACAAAGTCAAATGCCTATTTGTCAGGGACTATTTTTATTAGTGGATTTGATGCACTTATGAGTTATGTCTGGCAGCAGGACAGTGTCTCATCTCATCTCATTATCTATACTGCTTAGTCCTGAACGGGGTCACGGGGAGGCTGGAGCCAATCCCAGCCGGCATTGGGCAAAAGGTGAGGTACGCCCTGGACAGGTCACTGGTCCATCGCAGGGCCAACACACAAACGAACAACCACACACACACACACACATTCACTCCTACGGGCAATTTAGAGTCACCCATCAACCTAAGCCGCATGTCTTTGGACAGTGGGAGGAAGCCGGAATGTATGATTTAAAAATGCAGAAGTCAAAGTCTAGCACAACTAGGGTTTAGGTAACGACACGATCAGCCCTTTTTCTTCAGATTCACATTTTCTACCATTTATAAATGACTACAGCAATCATCCTAGTAAGTGAAAGTAATGAATCAAAATGATTCAGTTAAATTTGATCCAGAATGTTCCGTTTTATTTGAACCCGCTGCATCTGGCCCATGACTTTCAAATTCCCAGTGGGGCTCTTGATGGGAAGCTTTTTTTAGTCTAGACAAGAGCTGTCACAGGAAATCCTTGTCCCATGTTCTTGCAGCTTGAGAAAATAACCCCTCACTGCTCTTATGGTAGCAGCTACAGTTAGATCTCACAATTTTTTATTTTTAGATACTCAACACACAAACGAGTTAGTTTGATAATCATAAATCTTTTTTTCTTCCCCTGTTTTCCATGACACTCTAATTAGCATTTTCAGACTGAACATAAAATAAGTTTTAAGCCAGAAAAGGTTAATGTAAGCTAGTGTTCTGCTTCACTGTACAGTGCTATGGGACTACAGCTGTTACATGGCAGAGATCCAAGGGAGTCCAGGCTAAAGTTCTTGGTCAGACAGAGACTACATCCTGTAGTCTACTCTATGCTTATCACTTAAAAATACTGTGTTGGATCCACATTTTTGTCATTTACTCACCTTCAGCTTTACACCTCTAGAGACTCTATACTGTAGGTAAACAGCAACATCCTGATAGGAGCCTGGGCTCTGACTCTTTCTGTACTACTGATCCTGAAACTGAATCCTGTATTCCTTGGCTCATGTGTTTACACAGAAGAGAGCCAAGGATTTTCAGCAGCAGAAAAACCAAATATGAACAAATTAGAGCCACCAGCCTAGGACAAAAACCTGTACTGAAGATCAAGTGAATATCTAAACTGGTACTGCGTGTACTCTGCTGATAGTGCTTCTGATGGTGACGACAGTGATTACAGGGCAAAACAGGGTTTAAAATAACAAGCTTAATACTGTAACTTATCTCAATTAATGTCCAGTATCACCATTAACATTTATACGGAACAAGCGATATCCAGGCCTTCAATATCTAAAACATGACAGCAGCTAAACTAGTATGTGTTTCAGGAAATGGATGCATCAATGATGACCCTGTACCACATGAAACACAATTTCATAATTCGGCCATCAGCTAATAAGCTGCATCCAGAAATACACACTGGCCATTAGAGAAGTCAGGTCTGTCCACTGGGGCATGGCACAGTATGTGTTATCAGATGTGACTGATGATCCTACTACCCCTTAGCCATCCTTATTTTTTGGACTTAACTTTACAGGGCCACATACTGTGTTAGAGCTAAATACATTAAAGATATATAAGCATGGCATGCAATCTGCTGATGTAAATGTCCAAGAATAGCCTACACTGGAACACTAGATCACTAGAATCGCATTAAATAACTGAGTAATGTGTAACATACAGTGGCCTTTATCAATATATTGGAAAAGTGGGCCAAAACCCCTAGACCAGCTCTATTTTCAAGAGTAAATTGTATTTAAAGGACTAAATGAAGGTTGCAATCCTAACGTGTTTTGTGTTTTATAAAAGAAATATTAATTCAAAATAATACGCACCCAAAACGCCAACAACGAGAAGCTTCAGCACAGCCGGCTCACATGTATCCATCGCGCCAGGAGAATCCAGATGAACTTGGGATGAAACCTCAGCTGCAGCTCCGTGAAGTTTTACATTTTAAACGAACCATAACTGAAGTCATTCCAGATGTGCAGGACTAGTTCCGTCATGCTGTCATGACTTCAACTGATTTCTGAAGGGGCTGCAGGAAAACGCCAGAAGAACAAAAGAAATCGGATCCCTGAGCACAAGCGCCTGTCCTGGGGTATGGAGGACCAAAAATGACTTAATTAGAAATAAATAAATAAATGACTACAGTCATTCATAAATAAATACAGAAATAAATAAGTAAAACAATAAATACTTAATTAAATGCATAATTAAAAGAAAAATAAATTATATGCTAAAATAAATATAGAAATAAATAAATGCATTAATAAAAAGGAAAATAAATTAATAAATGCTAAAATAAATACATAAATAAATTA